AAACGCTAATAAGCTGCTTCGAGCTATTCTTGTGGCTAGGGCGACTAAAAAGCGTTTTCTATATTAGTTAAATTATTTTCCACGCCTACTCTTACTTACCAACAATACTCTTGTGAACTTATAATTTCTAAGGGACTTTTATCAGTCATATAAGATTTAAATTTAAATAATAAATCAATAACTACTCCAATACTTCGTCCATAAAACAATGCAAATCATTAAATCGATAAGAGACGAAAATAATTGAAAAAAATATTTAAACTCATTTATTAAACGACATTTAAGTTTTACGTTCTTATTATGCTCGATTAAAATATATTTTATAAAAAGTATTTTATGCATTATCAGATTATCGATTGACTACAGAATATTGCGAGGATACCTCTTTTATGTTTAAAATTAGCGGATTGGCATGAATTTTACAGTGAACGAAAAAAAAAAAAAAAAAAAAAAAAAAAAAAAAAAAATTAAAGAAATTTACTTTTATGAGTGGCTGTTGTAATATTTAAATAGAATTTGTATATTTTTCCAGCATATTTATCCTCCTCTTCTAAATCAGCCTATCAAAAATAATAAACTTAAGAGATTCGAAGTGAATTTAATAAATAATGAGATGCTCCTTAAAACGTAAGTCGTATGGAATTAGAGTTTCGACATTAATTTCTCATTACTTGTTAATTCGGTATAAAATATTTATAGAAAATTTTCATTTTGCAAGATTGGTGATTGAAAATTTTAAGCGATTTGTGTCAAGTGGCTCGACTCTGCACATATTTTTGGTTGATTATTTTTTTGCAAAGTATTGGAAATTATCGAGCCTGCAATAATAATTGACGCGATAAATTCTACAAAGCAAGAAATGTTTATTACAGTATTTATGAAAAGTCGATAGCTATATATGATGCTTTTTATATAGTATAATTTCGTCAACGTTGCATAAATCCTTGATAAGGAAGGACTCGATTCTGTCGAGGATGGCACGACTGCGTTCGCTTTTGCCTTTAACATTCGTAAACTATAAAACATCTGGATCAAAGAATGCCAGTTGCAAAACAACAGACAAAGTTTGGGGAATCGAAATTCGCGTCAGCCACAAGTATCTTGCGAATCTCAGCAACGCGATACCGCATCCTGTGACCTACATTGTTTACTCTTGCCGCTAGTATTCAGTAACTCCTTTTTCCCAACTAAGTTCCTTCCAAGTCAGACTCGCGACAGCTCCTACCGTTTCCGTCATCCGTCAGTTTTCTGAGTACGTAAAGAGTCAAAGAATGAGATTTATACAGGCCCACACAAACACACACACGCGCTTGCGCGCGCCCACAGAGGCAGATATAGAGAGAGAGAGAGAGAGAGAGAGAGAGTGGGACAGAGAGACCGAGTGGCTGTATTTACCTCGACGCATTTGCTTGTCGCCTACTTTTAGACCCCCAGGGGCAGATAGAGGCAGGCGTTGTTCGCACCGTAGCTTAGCTACGAGCATCTTCTACAGCATGAAAAGAGTTTCTTTGTACCTGCCAAGGTAAAAACTTCCCGAATACAGTTAAAATAGTCATATTGTTAAATTACACGTTGCATTTTGTTTTGACATATGAATTTATTAACAATTTTCCTACTCCAGCTTCATTTAAATGTTTATGTATCTTGGTGTTAAGCCAAAATTTACATATACTGAACCTATCATTTGTTTTTAATGGAAGTTTCTTGTTATATGTATTGTAGCTCAATACTTCTTTCAAATCGATTAAAGCATTTTTAAACACATATTTAATGGATAAGTATGTTTTCTTAATAATTCACAAATGACTTTTGGATTGAACGAAACAACGAAACAATGATTTGCATCTTGAAATTTACATTCTAGATAATTATATATTCTAAATAAAGAATGTAAAAGTGAGATAATGTACTATTTTATCACATATATATATATATATATATATGCAAAACTCGTCCTTTCCAGACAAAAAAACTTAAATGCTAATATGAATAAACAGATATGTTAATATAAAATAATTATTTATCATACACAAGTCCGTTTAATTATATTTGAATAATAGAAACGTTCGAATGATACGTGTAATATGGTACTCTATAACAGAAAATATAAGTCATCAATAATAAAATACTTTAAAAGAATATAAGTCTTTTGGCGTATTTATTAATTAATAATTTTAGTATATAAAAGCAACATTTTATTAATAAAAAATATTATCCATTATTCTACTATGATTATTTTCTGCTTATTATTAATAATCTATAATCATACGAATATATAATATATATTGTTTTTTTTGTTTTTTTTTTTTTTTGTTTTCTATGCCTTAAAAGTCAAACATTGTCTAGGAAACAAATATTTCTTCACTAATGGAATAATAGAGTCGGACATAAATACTATATCTTATTAAAGTTGATTGGAATTTTTGAATTTTAAAACAGAATTAATATGCAGTTTTAATAATATTTTAAGTTCATTTCTCTGGTTTCCTTTGAAACTGTCAACTCGTGCAACATCAACATGTGCATCTGTGAAAAGTTAAGCACGAATTAAGTCATAGGTGCATTAATAGTATATACAAGGTCATAGCATAAAATACTATTTATATAACAATACTTGATGAACATAATAAATACTATTCGCACGTATAGAAATAAAAAGGCAAAATATGAAAAGTAGTATATTTATATGAACGTGCCATATAAATATTATTTGTCATCCTTAGTTAAGCACATTTGTTTGAGTAAACTCTCCTGCTTCTTTTTGCGCTTACGTAATTTTTATGCTTAAATGTTGCGCTGTAATCAAGATATAACATTGGATTACTAAATGCGACTGAAATATAAAAATGAAAGAGCCGCAACAGCTCAATACTAAATATTCTTGGAAATCAAGGTATCCCAACCCTTAACGTATGAATCACTCTCTCGCGAATCTCACGGTGTCACAGCCCGCCACAATCTACTGCTCTTAAATTCGCATCACTTCCTGACAGACATATATATGCATATATGTGTATCTGCATCGATATACAGGTGCTAGTGTTGGCGTTCGTTTATTTGTAAAGTGAGTTAGTCTCGAGGCGTCCTTCACGCTCTGATTGTCCAGGTGCGCTTGCGCGAATCTTCACTAGCAAGACGAGAGGCTAGGGGTATCACATTTCTGTCGGGTATACAATTCTCTCGTTGAACGATAAATGGGAGTAGGAGATATTATAATGTTACATCATGGTGAATAGTTTGGATTAGGGGATATTTCATAAAGTATAGGAAGGGTTGCCACCTTCCAAAGCTTCATTCCATGAAATGTTGAATTGGACTTATGGGAATGGTAGATGGGCCATCCGTACAAAAGGCGTTATCCAGACATTTTTAATTTTGTTTGATTAGAAGGAGGATCATAGTATTTCTCTTCTTTTGATGCGCCAGTAAAATGTGAATTTAAAAGCTTTTAACTGTTGAAACGAATTAACATAAAAGTATATTATTCGTCGGTGGGAAAAATATATTACGGTCAAATATTACCATATATTTGGGAAAAATTTTGTCTAGGGAATTTCTAGTTTACACAAAACTCATATATACGTGTACATGAATTGATACATACTTATTCATATATATATATATATATATAGATAGATAGATAGATAGATAGATAGATACTAAGCAAATAAATATAAAATAGTTGATAAAATTATTGAATATATGAAATTAGGTTTCAAATTGAATTGTAGCAGACATTAATTTCTCCTTAATATACAATACTAGAAGTGCTAATATCATATATATTCTCAACGTGAAATTTTACTAAATGTAAAACAGAATCTGCATACGTGCAGACGATAATATACTATATAATATTTTTCATCTCGTAGTATTATAGAACATTCCACAAAAATTCATGAAATATTTCACATATTCCAACTCGATATATTTTCATCTGAAATACGAAATAAACTGCTCCATAAAACTTCACCTCGTTCATAAGCCATAAGTTTCTGGTTCCACTTAATCTTAACAACATTTTTCGCGCATCCCTGGCACAAAACAAAGAAAATTGTAGCAAAAACAATGGTTTCCAGTCATCTCAACCTATCTGTTTATTCTTGGTAAATAATGGCCGTTTAACTTACAAACTCTTTATTTCCTATAACTGTTTAAAAAAACATTTCGGTTACAAGCAATGTTTTCGAAAAAAAAAAAAAAAAAACATATTTTGCTATAAATTCCTCCAATTATAATTATTTTAAATAAGTATAATATTAATGTAAAGTATGTTTAAAAATGAAAAATTTTTATATATATATCTAATTGATCCACCAGTTACTTTATTAATTCTCATTATGCGGCCCAAATGGGATCTATAAAGCGAGATTTGCGACACGCAGTTTTTTTACATCAAATTATATATAAGAAACTAATGTTCATCGCGTAATAGAACTTTAGACACGAATTAGCGCATTAAATTGGTTACACGTTATTTTTTTTTCTCTATTATTTACGCGTATTGTATACGAGTAGAAATGATAAACTCTCGGTGCATCGTTTAAACAGCCGTTAAAGAACATCTTGAGGGATCGAATCGTCGGCGATTAAGTAGTAAGTGTCCCTCGTCCGTAGTTACCCAACTCGACTCCCTATTTCTCGCGCTCTTAGCCCATCTCGTTCTCTCTCTCTCTCTCTCTCTCTCTCTCTCATTCTCTATCTCTCATTCTTTTTCTCTTACACACACAGACACACAGACACAGACACACACACGCGCGCGCGCGCGCGCGCGCGCGCGTTCATACGCACACAGATATATATATATTCTCTCTTCCACCCCGCCCTCCTCTCACTCTATCTCATACGCACACAGATATATATATTCTCTCTTCCACCCCGCCCTCCTCTCACTCTATCTCTCTCTGTTTCTTTCTCTCTCCCTTTCCGACAGAGTAAACGTAAGCGGAAACGGCATCGCGGAGCGTCGCGACGTCCGTCTCTCAGTTGTGCGCGCACCACCGAGCTCACGAGAGCCGAGATTCGCGCCGTGTCACTCTACCACACGCATATCATGAACGGGGCCAGGTTAGACGACTAATCCGGAAATCTTCCGTTTCGGCGGCTGTGAAAAGTGCACGGGACTATGCTGGAGAAGAGTGAGTGTGCCGTGAGCGGCATTTAGCAAATGCTTCCAGCGAAATGCGACTTCACTCCTCTTATCGCGCGGTTCTTGGTGATTTCACAGAATCTTTCGTCGCTTTACATCGTCGTTAGGTGCTCTTCCACATGAGGTTTTAGAGACTTCGGTCTTCTTATGACTGGCAATTGCTGTTTGATTTCAAGATTTTAACAAGTATATTCCCCTCTACATGTCTACCTCCACATGTTTACTTTTGTAATATTTTACATATCGTTCGAGTTTACATCTGTTTACTTGCGTTCTTCCTCTTATTTAGAATACCTGGCGAGATTAAGGGCAATTTTTATTTCTAATTGAAAAATTAATAATAACAATATGTGGTCTACGGCATTTGAATTGTAATGGAATTAATAAGAATCACATTATCAGTTGTAGATATATATATATATATTTATTGGCAAAGAAATTTCTTTATCGTAGTTATTTATGGATTAAATGACGAATAAATTTGTAATATGTTTGGAAAACTTAAGAAATATTTGAATAAAAATTTTCTAATATACAGAATTCTCGAAATATATTGTTAAAAATTATGTATTACCGTAATAATAATTAAATATATTTATAAAAAATTCAAATAGTCAACCAAGACTGCATCCCAGACTAACAACGCGAATATCAAGTTACATATCATACTTTAGATTTTTCAAATTTCAATGTATAAATAAATTTTCAATTTCGACGGTATATTATATTTTATAACCATACAATTAAATTTTCTACAATGTTAATGTGCACGAATGTTAAAAATAAAAGCATGAAAATCATCAAAACAAGTAATTTATTTTAAATGTCATTAACGCAAGAAATGAATACAAAATTAACTTGTATAATGGCTTCTCTACATGTTCGCCTTTAGCTTTTAATGATCTTTAGTATCTCAAAAACAAAACTATTACACACCGCCGGTGAAGAATGCTGAGTGCAAAGTTACAAATCGTAATTGCTTGACAGATATAGCATCATGTCCAGTTTCTTTGATAGTATTTTGGCCAAACAATTACTGTACTGCGTCCGCATAATAAGTATAATGATTTAAAATTTGTTTTTTCTTTTTCACATATTTATTGTTTGAAAAGTGTCAAATATTTGACGAATGGGAGAGATCACTAAGAACAATCTGTTTCCGTACCCGCAAGTCTCGTATGTAATATTAACTCGAATCTCTTCACGAATCTCAAACGAAACATTACCCTCATTATCCATGAATTGAATAAATTTTTCAGAAAAACAAAAATACCAAATACCAAATGGCATCCCACTCAACATATAAATAACCTTTTGTTTAAAAATAATAAAACACACACACACACACACACACACACACACACACACAAATAGATAGGATTAGCAAGTAGATCATAAATTTAATCAGAATTGACGTGCTGAAAATTCTTCTTATGAATCGTCGTCGTGCTAGAGAAAGTCAAGCTAAAAATATCTTTCATGATAGGGATGGTCAAGCCTTAATAGATTAGGGGACTTCTGTATTTTATTCATCCTCCCAATTAATTTCTCATCTCCGACATGAATGCTAAGATTAACATTTATTTTCTCTAATGAATGCTATAAAATTGTTGATAGTCATCGCTATTGTACTATAAATAAAGTTTATGGAAGAGAGAAAATTATATTTACATTAAAATCAATTATCAATTATCAATATGCGCGTGTCTTTCGAATTTCGTAAATAAATCAAATGAAAATCTCCGATCTCTAAATTGCTAAAATGTACGTTAGAATGATGAAGAGATGAAATAATAATAATGGATTAGGGCACGAATGTTAACAACAAAAGTATATTCTATGTGTAGTAAAATTATATCGTTAAATAATTATTAGAGACGCTCTATTGCTTTGATCGTTTTTCATTTTATTTCGAGCTCTGTCGTCAAATTGTCGTGAAATTGACATTCGTTAACCAGATAATACAGGAAAGTAAAGGATCAAAGGCCGAGAGAATAATGAAAGAAACGGCTTCGTGGCGAAAAGCTCAGCTGCATGGAAAAAAAAACTTGAAAAGCACAAACACAATTAAAAAATTAATATCTAATCAAACGTGATAATTTGTTTCTTCCGACACGAATAAGAGATAACGCGATGACAATGTCTAATCTCACGGGTCTTCCCCTTCCCCTCATCGTCGTCGTATATACGTATGCGTACTTCCCGTCTCAGGTTCTCTTGCCTCCTCCCTCCTCCCACCTTCCTCCGCCCTCCTCATCAAGCAAGCTTCTGTATTAATGAACCGCGAAGATACGACGAGTGACATCAGCAGCGCCACCGGCCAACTCGGCTAAAAGCCTTTGAGAGCGAAGGTCTCACAAAGTCGCGAAAAATCAGCGATAGTTACTACTCGGGCCCCGACGAGCGTGTTTGCGCACTCCCTCGGGGACGCGAAGCGCGCACTCCTCGCACCCGCGAAGCACATTCACGCAAATGTCTCGGGCGATAAGGAAGAAAGTCATTTGCCCCGACCTGTATGTATGTGTGCATCGGGCTCGGGATAACCGCTACTCCGTATTCTTTACTTATACAAAGCCCTCGTGACGCTCTTTGCAAAATCTGTGGAGCGAAAATTTCCTTCTGAATTTAAAGCATTCCTAGTTCATACCCTCGTCGTGCACAGCGCGACCCTCCAGCCCCGCGACGACAGGCGTTTTTACTTTATGCGGTTAAAGTTGTTTACCTCGCCTACCTCCGACTCCCGAGTCGTTGCGGATGTGCTTTGCCCTCGCTCATGAGGGACGTTATTATTTTATTTATTTATTTATTTTTTTTTTTTTTTTCCACGAAGTACACAGAGAATTTAGAGATCGAGATATTTTTGCCCATCTTAACTTATGTAACTGTGTAGACAGTTTGGGTGGGACGTTTTCTAGGTTTCTTCGTCGGGTAAATAAGAGAATGACTTGCGGACTCTGCTTTGTAGCGAGATTTAATTATAAATAAAATTAACGAGCCACTCTTAGAAGGAAAGAGTCTTTTATAAAATAAAAACTTGCCGTAACATTTAAGTTTGAGATACTTTGCGTTGCTATGGGATTTCAAACGAGTGACAAAAAAGAAAGAAAAAAAAAGAGAAAAAGAGAAAACAAAAATTAATTAGAAAATTCATTTGACCACGTTGTAAGATAAAACATATAGAAGGACTTTGAATTTTTATCGATTTTCTTTATAATGATAATGTGATGTGCGAAAAGAAAGTAAAAGCTACTTACTGCACGTTGATGTTTCTTAGTATTGGATTTATAAGCACAACAAAGATACCAAATGATAGAAAAAAATGGGTAAAATGATGTTAACATTGTGCATCTGTTGTATATATATATATCTATTTGAAGGATGATGATTTATTATTCTTCAATTGTCATTAATTATAAGAAAAAAAATATACTAAAATGCTTGTAATATATTGAGCCGATCGTGTAATCTGTCTGTAGATTATTATTATTATTAATTATGTATATGTAACGTAAAAAAGACGAGAATTTTGGGAAAATAAGGCGATAGAATGATGTAAAATTGAAAGCAAAAAAAAAAAAAAAAACAAACAAACATAAATAAGTAAATAAAATGAAAAATTTAATTTAATCGAAAAAAAAGTAAATTATCTAGACCTACTATGTCCGTGATTAACATTGGACGTCTTTGGTGTTTTCAGAAATGATTGCTCCGACGTTTAAAGCGTTGTCGGCAAAGCCAGGTAAATCAGCGATGAACAAATATCTGTTTCTTTTCTTTTTTTTTTCTTTTTTTTTCCTCTTTTTTTATTTTCGTTATGTCCGTATACGTACAGTTCCATTATAATATTTGTAACTAGTAATTGATACAGCTACGGAAGAATTTAATAATGTAACTGGATATTATTAACTACGTTTTTTACAATTAATTTTAGATATTACTTACACAGTTTTGGCTGCAATTACCTTAACAGAGTTTGCCTTTGTTTTCTAGCGCGTACCACTACTAATATTAACTCTAAGTGGTTGATATTTAAAGACGAAAGACGAAAAATCCTTATAATATTAAATTGAATTTAATCTATGGTATCGTTAAAATGCATGTGCAATGACAATTTTATCTCTAACATAGCTTGAAAAATCTATCCCTTAAAATTCGTCGTATTTTAAGATATGGTATGAGATACGGTAATATTAATTAATTAACAATCATAAAATGATAAGTTAATTATTTTAAATTCACATTCCACAGACGCACGCCCAGATAAGAATTACAATTAACGCAAAAAACCTACAGTTATGGAGAAAGCATTTGAACTTATACGGCCGTATTGGACGATTGTCGATAAAGATATTTGAATATTAAAATATGAAAATAACGGCGTTCGAGTTCTTTGATGCAGATTAATAAAAATGTATCTAAAGGCCCATCAATTAACCTATATTCCATGAGCAGTCCGGATTAATGGACGGCGCGTTTACACTGGAACTGAAAAGCGACCAACTTTTCGTAAACAGCCGCTGCTGCTCTTCTCATTTCTCTCGCTGCGTCGCGCGACCGCAAAAAGCCCGTGCGCGCGATTAATTTTCGCCGTCTCGCCATCCGTGAGCTTTGATTTATCGCCGAATTAATAATGCGCGACGCGCGCGCTCGCGATTATTGACCGGGATTGTCGAAAATAGGGTGAAAAGTGCATTGAATTGTGGGTGTCGTGTGCAGTCGCGCGAACTTCTAGGGGGAAATGCGCGAGCGCCACTTTGTCCGCGCCTTTCGCCCCCGATAATAAGTATGCTAACGGACCTCGTTTTATGAGAGATAAAGAGCCATAGGAAGCGAGAGGATGAGAGTGAGAGAGTGAGAGAGTGAGAGAGAGAGAGAGAGAGAGAGAGAGAGATTACTAAATTTAAGCACGGAACTCGAAACGGGACACACTCGATTTCCTGCTTCCTAGCGCCTACGCGTTTCTATTTTTGATGCCCTTTTTGCATTGACGGAAAAAAGACGCCGACGTAAAAAAAGTAATTGCTATAATATTTATGGGAAAACCTAGTCAATTATTTACATTCTTATGGAATTTCTTTGTCATCTATCAATTAAAAATATTTGTTGTATATCTAGAGTTTAATACGATACGTTAGATACAACAATTTTTTTTCAACAATCGTTCGTTTTATTCTCATTTCGAAAAGAAAATTATAATACAATTAATGTTACTTTAGTATCTTCAATAATATTAATGACAATTTAATTTTTATATTTATACATTGTTATGCTTTATAATTACATGTATAATTAATTTCTTTTGATTGTTAATCTTTTTGGTGATTATATTTCAGAAAAATTCTGAAATTAATAAAAATTCGATCAAGAGCAAAAAAGCTTGTTAAAGACCTTTGTTAGCTATTTATCAGTTTAGATTTTCTAATTCATTTCTGTTAATATAATAACTAACAGTAGAAATTCCATTGCCAAAAATTAAAAAAAAAAAATTATTCCCATGTACTTTTTTTTGTTAAATATACTCAGTTAAAATTATCTTCGTAACCATCGCCATTGCATTGAAGATACATTAATTTTGAAATAGATCATAATGATAATATTCTATTTCACAATTTCTAATGCTTTTATTAATAATTAGTATTTCGTTAATGGTATTAAACGTGCGTATTCGATTTTACTGGGCGCCAACCCATTGCAGTTACTATATTTGCATTTTTAATTTAAGAAAGAACTTAACAGACGTTTATTTACAATACGATAAAAGTGCATTGTGAATGATAAAAATCTAATAAGATCTAATAATAATACAATTGTATTATTGTTCTGAAAAGTTCTTTTAATTCAGTAAGATAAATTCAGATATTATTCTTTTCGCGCATATCTATTTTCATATAATATCTTTAAGATTCGCTTTTATTTATGGAAACAAATTTCTTAGCTCTTATCATTCGATACTAACATCTCGTCTGTATAGATATAATGTATTCATTTTTTTGTTGGCCTTACCTAGAAACATAATATAGTCACGTAGATAAATTGTAATTTGCCTTGGTAAAGTTTATTCTTTACATTAATATAACAAAATTTGTTCTGTTCAAATGATAAGATATTTCCATGTATTATACATAATTATTTTTGCCCACTTGACCTAATATTCCTTTGTGCAATCAATCGAATCACATTCATAAATAATTAGTTTTAATAACTGTTTGAATCAATAGCAATTTATAAAGGCACAATCGCTTATAACGCATTAACGAATGAAAATAGTAATCTTATAATAGAAAAAACATATCGTTATCAAATTTTTTTTTTAAACTAAAGTAATAAATTTAAATCAATGCATTTTTAATAGACTGGCAATCGTGAAACTGAATCCATATGCTGAAATTGAAAAATTAAGCGTAAACAGAAATTGATATAATGAAGGAAAGTCTCCGCACAGTCGTTGTTTAATGAATCGATTCAAAGTCCCACTGCGTCTATTTGCTTTAACCTTAATGCGGATAAATTTATCGTAGTATACTCGGTTAGCAAAGCCGTTTGCATCGGATTCGTGCAGTAAAACCACATTGAAAGAATGCTCATTTATGTAATGCAACACCGCCGGGCCAACTTTATCTCTTTTTTCGTAAGGGAGACGCTAAGCGAGAAATCATATATACAATTTGTCCGTCACGCCGTAAATTCACGTGTTGGCATAGTCGCCGTCGTCTACTTTTCACAACAGGCCAGAATCCCTAATTATTCCGTTCTTACACGGCCGCTCCCCGGATCTCGATGCGAGCGTGACTATTCTAAAATTTCGAAGTCGCGGCTTCTCCCCCCCCCCCCCCCCCCCCCCCGTCCCTCCCCCTCCAACAGCATGGTCGGCTCTGCGTCTGTACTTATGTTCATAACTATCCGCACGTTTGCGCTCACGAATGGAAAATTGAAAGAACAAGGCTTTTCAATGAATTGGAGTGTGCTTATTCTTCTGCATGGCCAGTGATGAATTTGTTGAAATTTTGATTTTGTGGTTATTTAATTTATAGAGAATTTGTCGAAGCTTGATAAATTACGTTATAGTTATTAATTATGTAACACGATACGTTTTCCGACTACATTCGGAGCGTAAATTTGTGTTTCCATTTGCAATTAATGTAGACTTTAACATAACGCGAACGAAGGAAATATTCTTTTTATTGAACGGTACACATTTTATAACCTTAAATTTTAATCGTCAATAGTTCGTTCTTAATTATTTAATCATTTTTCATGTAATTAAATTAGATAGAACATTTTCGCAATTAACCGCAATATATAAAAGAATTTAGAATAAGGCGTGGAAAGACAAGTAATAGCCGTGATTAAAGATAACATTCCTTTTAAAATGAAATTTAAAATCTTTTCATATGAAAATGGTTTAATCAACTGTTAACAGCGTTAAACGTTAGTAATATTTTTGTAAAGTACGTTTTTGAATATATAGTAAAAAAAGTTATTATCACGCAGAATGTATTAAAAGTATAATATTTCGATTCACATTCAAATTGTAATGAATTTAAAACTCAATTATTTGTAAAGTATTTTTATTTCTTCCAAACCCATTATAATACACAATATAAATATTATATTGTACCGCCTGTTACATATACCGAAACAACATCAATAATCCGCAAGAAATTTAACCCCGTAATTGTGCTATGTATACATATATATATATATATATATATATATATATATATGCGTGTGTGTTATTGAAAATAAAAGGTAATATCTTATAATAATAATTGTAAATGTAGGTGTATGGTCCCCGGGAAGTGAACCGCCGAAACTACCGAGACAGCCCAGTCCAGAGGGCAACAGAGACGGAAAAGATGAGTCGATCCCACCAGTTTGGACTCCATCAAGCGCGGGTCCGAGTCCAGTTGCCGAGAGAAAAGAATTTCGCCCAGTACCCTTTGAAAGTCCTATTTTGAGCAGAAAGAAGAGCGCTCAGGTAGTTTAAATCGAAAGCACCCAATACTACCTCTAATACCGACAATTGTACTATAAATTTTTCGGTTATTTATGAGAGTTACAAACGTCGTTATGTTTTTATTATATTAAATACTTATAAATGAGCGGGAACCGGGAGTGAGAGGGAGTGGAAAGTACAGTACAGTATCCTATAAATATGACAGTTACTTAAATTTAAATGATTTATAGCTCAAGACCGTGAATAATTATCTTTTTATATTTCCATTAGCTATATTGAAGGGACGGGAGAACAATTTAATTTGATTCCGCGTGCGATACGCTATTACGCTTATCTTTAAATTACTAGCCTCTTCATCGCTTTTACGAGATTAATCGACATAAAAGTTTCCAGCTTAATTAATATAATTTAACTGTAAATTCTAAATAAAGCTCACCTCGTAAAAAGCTTAGCTTTTCATTGCTAGTGGATAAATTCTATTTCAAGCAATATCAAGAAAGCCGTCCACATAACCAATCATTGCGGTTAAATTCTCGAGAAGAGCCAAGAGTATCGACTACTCACCACTGACAATACCCGATATAATTGAAAGCGGGTTTGCGTTTAAAAATAGCTGGAATGCCATCCGATAATCGACCCCCCCCCCCCCCTGTTGCCGCACAATAGCGCGAGCAATAGAAAGCCCAAAGAAAGTAGTAGCCTCCCTCTATTTACTAAGCAGTGGCAGGTGTATTGATTTGTGCGATATTCCAATGCGTCCAGCAGTCGGCAGCGAAGGCAGATACGATACCGCCGCCCTGGCAAGACGAAAACCAACCGAAGGAAGCTTCTCAAGTTCCCTCGCAGAGCATCCCCTCGCGGATTGTCAATTCCTACTCAGCCCCGTCTCAAGGCTTGAATGCACTCTCGGCGGGTGCGCCCCGGCTGCCAAGGGCACAAAATCCGACCATTACTCTGCTGCAGAAAGCGAGAGGTACGTTGAAGCATCTCTACAAGGTGCGCGTATGAGCGTGCGATGCGATCGAAGCGGCAACCGTACTTCAAACACCGCATTGCCCGGTCGAATGGCGGTGGGAGGGGGGG